AGTGACATGTTTCCTGTAAAGTTCTAATGCCTGCCTTGCAAGAACCACTACCACAAAAGCACTGAAAACACTACACCATCACTACCTATTCCTAGTTAAGTCTGCCTTTTTTTAATCTGGTGCAATTGCTTCAAAGTAAAAGTTACCATCTGATCCACATTTCCATAGTACCTCCACTTAAGAAACGTCAGTTTTCCCTCTCCAGCTGGGACAAAAAGCAAATGATTTATGATTCTTGAACTGCTGCTAAGATCTTGCCTGTCAGAGACAAAATTTCTCACCAGAACACAGGAACACAAATAGCTTGTTCTCAAAGTGTCTGCAGTGCTAGTCCTTCGTCTGGCAAAGTTTGCACACATGATTAACTTCACTCTGTGTCAGAGGAGCTAGTCACAATGCACAGCAAAACACAGGGTTTCAGTTTTTAATGGAACTGGGGCCCAAGAAGAGGCAAAAGGGAAGGCAAAACAGAAGATTAGACAATGGAAGCTTTTCTCTATACCGCTGTAAGTACAGACCTCTTCTCAAATCTTTTCAGCTGTTGCATACACAAATATGAGTCTGAATTCCCACTGCCTGATTGCCTCAGGTGCAGTACACAAATTACAAGTAAGTAATTCCCTTACTTCCAAGGGGCTTTTTTTTTTTTTTTGAAGATTAATTACTAACCCCTAATTATACCTTTGCTGACTGGCTAACAAATGAGGTGAGGCAACACCCTTGGCTGGTGATATCCACAAGGGGGGAAAAAAAAATGGGTTATTCCATCCATGGAAAAGGGCTCGCCGGTCTGGAATCTCAGCGTGCAGGTCTCCCATATAGGACAGAGTTCCTTCCAGGAGCCTGTATCTACAGCAATGTCTACTCTTCCCCAGTTTGATCAGTGTAAACTAAGGGTCCAAGTGACAGATTTCCTTCCTGGAAATCCTTCCCAACTCCCTCCATCTGAGCTGACTAGTGCAAGAACAACTCACCTGCTAGAAGATTTCATTTGAGGTGCAAGGAACGCTTTGGTTTCCACATCATCCAAGCACCTTGTCCATTTCTGTCAGACCACACACCAGAGAAGTTATCACACTACATGCTGCTCAAGTTTGGTGCTTCTGACTGGGAGGACAGGTGTAGTTATAAAGGAAAGCAGCAGTCATGGTCACAAAACAACAACCCTTGCAACATGCTAGTAGATATTAAACCTTTATTAACATTCACTTTAGTCGCTTGACTGGGACCAGGAAACAGAGCAGTGTCTTACAAACACTTCCAAATACCAACATCTTGCACATTTTGTACCCCAAGGTATAAGAGAGGCCTATGGTAACAGACCCATGAAGGTTTCTAACACAAAGAGCCTACATGCCAAGAATTTCAGAGACCCAAGCTACAGTACCACTGCTGTTCAAGAAAGCAAGAGGGGCAGGGATATACAGAACATCCATGGCTACTGCATGTACTTTATACCCTGTAAATCACAAAGTAAAATAGCAGGTATATTCTTTTGGTCATATATTCCCCAAAAGTAATAGGATGAGTACAGCCTTACTGACAGAGACTTGATACAGAGTATCCAGACCGTGCCAGAGCCACATTCATCACTGTCTCCTATTCCCACACACACAAATTAAGGATAGTTACTTAGGGGATAAAATATGATTTCACTGCGTTTGGAGAAAGTAACAGGTTTCAGGGAACCATCATTTGATGCACATGCCCCCACAGAAACCCTTAGCCTAGCTAGTTGAAAAAATATATAGTATATATTCAATGGCTGGGACATTTCTCCATTGTGCAAAGCCCTATTTTTTTTTTCTCTGACCCCTCACTCACTATTTGTCTCCCTCTCCATCTTTTTCTCTTTTTGACTCCTTCCCCTTTCTGTCTCCCTCTACTTCAGTTTTACTGGGCCTTTCATTTCTTCTTCGTTCCATGTTTCTTTCTTCAAGGCTGATCTTGGATAAACCATGCCAGTAGCACTGGGTTCTCCTGTCCCTTCTCTGACTGATGGGGTTCATACCCCTCACAAAGTATATCCCAGTAGATTAGGCCTGTGTGGAAAAGCAGACATTCTAGTTACTGTCTGATCCTTACTGCTTCATACAGGAAGAGCCTGTTTATAGCCTTCAGCCTGCAAGGACTTCTGGAATTTGAAATCCTTTCTCCTTCCATTTTCAGGGCAAACAGCTGAAGAGACTAGGAATCCTGCCTCCCCTCACAGATATCTTGGCCTTCCAGATATCAACCTTACCTTTAGATCCTGCAGCTCAGCAAATGTGCTATCATATATCCCAGTGTTTGCCCAGCCTATGCAATCTGATAGGCCACCTATATTGAAGAGAGTGATTAACATCTAAGAATGGATGGGAAGTGATCTTCCACACAGCCATGCTATATTTTTGGAAGGGCAAGGCAAAGTCACAAGGGCTTACTAAACTCTTTGATCATTTAAGCTTTTGGTTACTAAATAACCACCAGTATCCTTTCCATAAATCCATTTATTCTTAGCTACATGAATCCCCATCCCCATTTCTAGGACACTAGCTTCTACTCCTAAGCTACATCTTTCTCTCAGCTACACCATCATCTCTCAGCAGTCCCAGTAACTGATTACCCAAGTGTTCTCCTTTTTCTGGTTAATGACATGGCCGTGTACTGTACCCTCCTCTCACCTTCTGCAGCATCCCAATCACTTGACATGAGCAAGCACTAGGCCACAACCTGAAGACTGCCACTTCTAAATCCTCCTAAAAACTGGTAAGAGAATCCACTTGTTTCATGCATTTTTCATAGCTCCTCTCATTCCCCTCTCGGTTGTTACATTCACATCTGCTTCTAACTAGCCTCATTTTTAGCAAAGCACAGCAGGAGCTAGGGAAACCTCTAAATCTCCTCTAAATCTCGTGGCATTACAACATCAGGAGTACCCCCCACTTCCATTATCTCCATGTCCTGCTTTTTGTTTTCTCTGTTCCCTTTTCCTTCTCCTCCTTTCATTTTCACTGGTACAATGTGAACTGTTACACTAGGTCTACAGCAGACCTGAGCTGCTTTGTGCTGAGCACAGCAACAGCTCAGCTAGTAGCCCACATCCCTCAGTGTGGCACACTGGATAGAGTGGAGGTGATTGGTGTTGGGTGCCTCAGAACAAACCCAGCAGACACCAGAAACCTGAAAAGAAGCTGCACATAGGCTGCCCATCAGTAAACACTGATGGAGTTCATGACTTCGGAAGGACATGGACATCTCACACCTACCTGTAGGAGAGATATCCATCTCAAAGTAGGACTCACTACCTTGTTTTCTTTCCTAGCATAAGTGTGTGATTGAAAAAAAAACAAACACACACACCACAAGTACACTGGTGGTGACATGACCCAACAGACCATCAATTAGTATATTTTGCAAAATTGGTTGGTAGGGAAGACTCTTGGTCTTATGTGGATGGATTACCCAACAGACAGGAAGCACAGTCCCACTTTTTACCCACATAGCAGCTTAGCCTAGCATTATGTACACTTTATTTCATATGTTCTGCCACTGAGCAGACTTCAATGTCACAGCTACCTCCACCTCAAAGAACAGCTTATTTCAGGTAATAACAGGTATTCATTTCAAGGGGAACTGGAAATTTGTCTCCAAGTTGTTGTGGTCTTGATCCTGCCTAGTATGAACAGGTTAAGCTAAAAAATTTAAAAAAAAAATGTTGAAGTGCATGGACATACAGAGTCCACATGGAAAGGATGAAACCTGACAGAGAAGCCACAGAAATAACAGGAAGCTGAAGAACAACAAGGGTAAGGCAGTAGGACTTGGAAAGTAGTGCAAGACAGGCAGGATGCTGGGGACTGTAAGCAGCACAGTGATAACTCAGGAGAGCTGAGCTCTTCATTTAGAGGATGTAGGCAAGAAGTCAGGTTTTGGAGGGGAAAAACTGGTGGGATTTGACAGGTCCATGTGCAAAACATAGCTTGGATACAGTAAAATGTAGTAATCTGGATGTCACTGTCAGGAAGAATAGCAGAAATACTAAGGGGTGAAGAGAGGTGAGCTTGGGAAAACAGTTTTCCCAAGTTCCAGATGTTGGTACAGGATGGTGGAAGACTGGAGAAATTGAGAGAAGCTGGAACAAAGAGATAGTAGTACAAGATGTTGGACAGAAACAACAGAAAGAACAGGGGGAGAACAGTTCAAAAGTATAGGAAAGATCAAAGTTGATGGGAAAAAAATAAGAGACTCCTAGAAGTGGATGGGACAACACTAGATATTCCTGTGAGAATGGCTTTGGGATTATGGTATTGAAAGTAAACTTCAAGGTATTCAAGCAAGTATCAGAGCAGAAGAACTTGCCAAAGATAATGTGAATGCAGAAAATGCGGAAGGAGTTGTTCCATCCTGCAGAGACTGCAGCATGTGGAAATGATTACAGGGATGATTGTAGGACTAGTAATATGTAAAAGATACATAATTATAAACCACTGGATAACAGTACAGAGTAGAACTGTAGTCCAAGAAGAATATGCTGAGCACCAAACAAGATTTTCTTAATAAGATGGAAGAGTAAGAGGGCAAGTCAAATTCAAGTTTTTCATTGACTTCCACTGGAAATGAAACCTCTGTTGTCAGTGTTGATCCCTTCCTCTAAAGAAGGAAGTCTAATCTTCCTCATTTTAAGAAGTTGGTACAGTGAAGCCGAAATAGCATCTTAAGCCATGAAAGACATGAAGAACTTTGGCCCCAAGTTCTTTGATAATGTTTTCAGCACAATTTCATTTTATTTTCATAATTTTTTCTTCAGCAATTTTAGCACTGTGATTTCTCTCCAATTCAGAGAGAAGGGCAATAAGTCTACAATTATTGTTTTAAAAACATTCAGCACATTCAAGTTTCCCACTCAGAAGGGGAATTCTTCTTTGCAGACAATTGCATTACAGTTTTCATTGTTCTCCTCTTGTGGTGAGGAACAGTACAGCAGCCTAGCACTCGTTAAAAATTCTAAAGTGACATACCTGCTCAGTAGTTGCTTGTGGTTTTATATTCAGGGGTCCTTAGTAAAACCCATATGGAGAAGTGTCGCAGAAGAATCCCTGTTTGTTGCTTGCCTGCAGAAAATAATATATATATATACACAAACACACATATATATATGTTTTGTTTTGTTTTTTTAAGATTGCTGAAGGCCTGCAGGTAGAAATTAGATATTCAAAACTAATATACACTTTTAGCAATAATTCATAGTAGCATAAAAACTACTTGATGCCCCAAGAGAGAAATACAGAATTTCTGGAAAAGAAAAGCAGAAAACCCCATGCATTCCTTCCCACTGTCATGGTGTTTATAACTCTAAGCACTACCATACTGCAATCACTTCAAACAGCTTACACTTCCAACTCCACGAGGTACTGAAAAGCAATAGTTATCCCAACTTCATCAAACCCCTATTCTAACACAAAATTCCTGTGCTGCCATGCCAATCATATCAGCAGGTCAACACATCTGGTGTTCAATACATCTTGGAAGTTATTCTGCCCGAGTCTTGCTTCAGGTTAGAGCCTTTGCTTTATTACCGTGGTCTGGATCGGAGTCCCACACCAGTTGTCGGCTGCAGGCAATTCAGGCTCTCATGCTCTGCAGCGTTTTCTGCAGAGCTGCTCAGGAGATTACACCAGCGATGGCATTTTATCAGTACTGCTACGAGGTGAGTGCAGACATGATAAGGAAGTGTTAAAAGTCAACGAGGTGCCATTGACAAGGATTGAAGCTGGGCTCGCGCTTCCCCACCAATCATGTGTGCGCTGATGTTGTGCAGTCCAGTCGCCTTCTCACCAGCTGCTGCTTTGGCAGGCAGCACATTTCACCTTCTCTTTTTGGTACGCAACCTCCTGCCGAGTCAGCCAGCTCATCTCCACTGGAAGTGGTCACTGCGTTTCTTAAGAAACCCATACAGGTTCACTGGTGAGCAATAAAGAGAATTTTCATTATTTAAATACGCTGATAAAAGGATAAGCCAGTTGCTTTAGCCCCTCTCCACCACACCCTACCAGAATGGAAGCCTCCCTTTGAGAGATCTGCTTTCCCAGGACAAGCATTCACATGCTCTGCCTGGAGCTGAGCAGAACCTCCAGCAGCATGCCTGGCATTCAACCCACAGAGATTAACCCCACGCACAAGCAAGCCCCAAGGCTTAGGAAACCTGCTGTGACTAATGGCTTGATTGGGACCTAAGACTTTTTCCTCCAGATTTTCAGGAGCAGTTGAAGAAGCCCATAAGAAATTCATTTCTATTGTGCAACTATTGGCACAATCCCCAAGCTGCAAACTGTGCAAACAGCCAGCAAGCCATAGGCTTAATCACACCATGCAGCAATGCACAATGTTAGAGCCAAAAAAAAAAAAAACAAACAGCCCCATTCTTGCCATGGTGACCATAGTCTCTGCAGCATGACAACAGAGTTGGCCTAAGTAGCCATGGTCAGTCAAAGTATTTCAGAACAATTTGAAACTCAACAATCTCTCCCATAAAGCCATGTAATAAGTTGCCACTCAAATACCAAGGGCACCTCCACCAGAACTGCTGCAGCTGATATCCAGAAGCTCAAGCAATAGTGCTCTGGGGAAACAACCAATTTGCAGAATTAATACAAACACACTAGCACACAGCAAGCACCAACAGCCATTACAGTGAGCTAAAGGACTCCATTATATTCCTGTGGGACAGGTGTGGTTGCCACAAACAGCCCCCTTCCCAGCTGGTACCAATGAAATCCTTACCAGAAGCCTCAGTGCAGAGGCCAAGGTCTCAAAGAAATCCTCAGCTGACCTCCCTGAGGAGGCCCTGCCTTTGTGAGGCTGAGGAAAACTGAGTAGATACAAGGAATGCTGTATCTTGCTGGTTCTTTGACATTCTGAATTTACATTCACAGGGAGAAGAGAGATGTTTCTTCTTGGTGTGTCTTTGCTGGAAAATGCCTTCTGAGACATCCATGCTTTCTGTTTCTTAGATGCTAGGGGCAAGAAGAGTCTTTCACTATTCCTCAAGAATCGATACAAATGTGTATTTCACCTTGCAAGCAGTAGGAAGCACAGCAGCACAGCAGAGCCCCCTTTTCCTGATCTTTCCCTGCTCACTGCCAGGGGAGCAGGCACATGGATTAGTGGTGAGTGCTCAATGTCAGGGACAGCTCTCACCACACTATACGATGCTACCAACTGGGAGCCCTGGTCCTCCCAGCAGCTGGAGGGAAGACAGTGGTAGGCACCGCTCCCTGGATACTCCCAAAAGAGTTACAGATCAAAGCATATTGCTAACTGGGAATCCTTCTTTCCCAGGAGAAACAGATTTCCAATACAGAAAGTCAGAATTCACTGGGCACTCTGTCTAAGGCCACCAGCCATGGCTGTAGATGTTCCAGCCTACAGCAAGGGTAGGGCGGCAGGTGGCTGCAAGGTCCCCTGGTGCATTCTCTATCAGGAATGTAAATGCCATGCCCTCCATCCTCCCTGTCTCTGAATGCAAGCCTGCCTGCAGGAGCGAGCCACCAGCCAGGCTTCCCCTGACACCTGACAGTGCTGTGCGTCCCGTGAAATGAGCCTTCACTGTCTGGACTTTCTCCCTCCCTTCAGCGTTATCAATGTCCCAGAATTGCTCCAGAATTTAGCAATTTCAAAAGCAAATATTTACATATATAAGGGAAGAAGAATTTATTGAGAACTGTTTCTCTCCCTGCTGCCAAGGCAAGCTGGCGGTGGCTTGTGCCTTGCCATGGCAGCCCGCCTCCTCCCTGTGTGACCCTCCCCGCCATCTTGTGTCTGGCAGCCATTTTCTATGGCCTCTCTGTGGGCAGGGTATGGCTTGCACAGGCAAGCAGTGAGCTCTGGAAGGCTGTTGGCTGCTGAGGAAACAGAGAAGTTGCTGGTTGACACAAATACGGCGTTAGCTTGCCAGCTAGCCCTGCTCACTGCTAAGGGAAAGTCTGGTCTGGGTGCCCCCGCACCAGCTGTTCAGACCCTGGCAGTGGTCTTACGGTGCTGGCCACAGGGAGCTGGGCTTTGCTGCCCTTGTCCTTGCTCAGGGCTCCTGGTGGGCACTCTCAACTCCCTTTTGTCCTTGTCAGTGGTCTTCAAGTGATTTAGTCTGTGACCTAGCAAGCCCTTGAGAGCACGTGGCTTTGTAAAAATCCTGCTCCTTCCTGGTTTTGTCTGGAGCAGAAGCACCTCAGTTTGGGTTGCTCACAGCATGTCTGCTCCCAGCCCTGGACAAGACCTGCAAGTTTGCTGGTCTGGCAGGTTTCCCCCAGTGTTTTCCCAAGCAGTCGCCCAACTCTGTTTGAGCTTCAGGGAGTTCAGTTTGGGGTGAAGGGTAGGTCAGCTCTTATCTGGTATCTACATGTGCAAGTGTAACCCTTACCAGTTCCCTTTACAGCTCCAAGAGTTCCTGCCTGGCGTCGCAGTGAGGACCACGCTTTCCCTCTGTGCTGGGGCCTTTCATCAGGAGTCAAGCAGTGCCAAAGAGCCACAAAGATTTCTTAGAGACTCGACAGCTTTAAGGAAAATCCTGGGGGCATCTATGGCCTTCCTCCTTGGCAGCCTTTGATGCAGGGCCCAGGGCAAGGAGAAAGCACAGGGCCACCGGCTCCCTGTTTCAGGCTGGCCAGTGAAGCCCAAGGGTGACTCGGAGCTATGACAGGAGCTGAGTAAAGCCTTCAGTGGCCTGCAGGTCCTGTGAGATTGAGAGATTACATAAAGCCACTCCAGCCTCCTTCTCCTTCTGGAAAGTGCTTGTAGTACAGCTGAGGTGGATTCAAGAGCTTGAGCTATAGGATCTTGCACAGTTTGTTTTAGCAAATACTGTTGTTGTCAATTTTCCAAATGTCTGTTCACACACAGACTGTCCTAGTACCTTGCCAGGGCTCCAAACATTCATCTGCTGAAAAAACTTACTAGGAAACTGCCTGCATTCTTGCCTGTCCTTGTGACCATTTTAAAACCAATCACATAAACAGGAGCCCACATGGAAATATAGGTGTCAAAGATTTAGTTCTCCAAAGGCCTGTAGAGGTATGTGACTATGGGAATCCCGCTTAAACCACTGCCACCTTCTTCTAACCACAGGATATCATGCTCAGTAAAAAGTCCAGACCGGCAAATCCTATTTCCATCCCCCTCTGGTAGAGGCTACCATAGGACAAAGACACTGAAACTGAGTGGGGGTGGATGGGAAGGGAATAGCACAGCAGGCAGAGACAGTTGGTCCCATGTGTTTTCTTTCCTTAAAGATAAAAATTTACACGAGTCAAATGAAAAATCAGGAACAATGCAGGAATTTTAAAGAGGCCCAGGCTGCCACCTGACTCAGCGTCTAGGCAGGATATTGATTAGCGAGGCTATTCTTTATTCCTCTGCTATTGTTTAAGCATGGGCTCCCTCATGACAGCAACAGGCGTGGGAACACAGCAGCTTTGGTGTTAAAAAGTGCTTTTATCACTGAGCTGAGTAGAGGGGTCTCTGGGAACCAGAGATGGTGTGTCTGATAGTGAAGGAAAGGCATTCAAACCAAGAGCCTTATTCTGAGATCTCTAGGGCCGATCCTGCATTTCTTTTGAGTTGTGTTCAGGCTCCAGTGAGTTCAGAGAGGTGCAGAAAGAAAACACCTCTGCCACTAAAAATTCTTGGATTTTTCCTTGAGCCGCAGTAGCTGCGAGGATGGCAGTTCCTACATACTTACTTACCCAAGTTATAAATAAGCCATTGGGTTCAGTAAACAGTGTAGCACAGCACAGAGAACAGGCTCATCATCGACCAAGCTTCTTTAACATGTGTGAGCAGGTTTTTGCAAGCCAGGTTGGGCTCCAGCCTGCAATGGCCACCACAAGAATTCAACAGAACCAGACAAATATGTGGTCACTTGCATCATTTCCGTTTAAACTGTCCATGTGCTGGCAACCTGCCATTCAGAAAAGCACGAGTTTCTACCAAATGAATTAATGGACAATTATACAGTTTCCTGGTAGCTCCAGTCTTTGGTTCCCTGGTAATTCTCCATGCACTAAAAAGCAACACGCTTCAGTACTTGAAAACATCCAATTTGATTGAGTAGAGGGCAAACAGTGACCACCAAGCAGGTTTTCAGCCAGCCAAAGTATTTCTGCCTCCCATCAGAGATGTACGGCTGGCTACTGATTTTATATTCTCTGTGGGTTTGTTCTTCACTTGCATTAGAATCTCAGATGTGACCTCATATATATATATATATATATGAGGATCTTTGTTTTCATCCACCCTTAAGATAAAAATGAAACTCCTTCAGGCACTGACCGGACAAATATCAGCATGTGAATTCACTTCAAAGACGGGGCACTGCAAAGTGGACTGTCAGACATAGGACATGTTCTTTGTAGACACTAAACTTGTATTCCAGCATCTAGAAACACTCTACAACATTGCTCCATGTGTTTGTGTAAGCATGCACAATTTGGTCAAAGTGTGAGCATACCAACTTTCTCTGTAGGCTTTCATGATTCAGTATCATTCTTTCCAAGTATTTTTAACTTTCCCAAGGTTTAAAACCAGTCAGGATTCAGACAAGATTCTCCTACTTCAGTCTGTAACAAACGGACAACCAATGGACAATGCTTTTTTAATTTTTATTTTTTTTTTATTTTATTTTTAGGTGATAGCCCTCCTTCTGCAAGAACCATGTTAGCACAAAAATACTGTTTTTCAAATATGGACTTTCTCTGATGCTATCTCAGGACTATTTATATTGTTATTTATTGCCTTGGTTGCCTGCTGCCTCCATGCCAGCTTGGACTCAGTGCCTAGTAGAGAGCAAGCTATGCCCCAGACTGGTAACCTGAAGCCCAGAGGCTGGCTTGCTCTGCCCATACAAACACCATAGACACTACAGGCTGTAGACACTCATCTCTGTGAAAATAACCCCAGCTCTATCACTGACCCACACATCAGTCCAGACATAAACAAAACATCTTCTGCATCAGCTCATAAGCTTAGTGAAGATGTTGATTATGGCCTTATCCACATATTTTGGCAGTCACGAGTTGAAGAATCCATCACCTTACCCATTATTCCACAGTCCAAAAGGCAATCCAATAAATGTAGCAGGTTGCAATTTAAAGGACAGCTCATCTCTCCTTGAGCTCAGTGGTGCAGTCATATTTTCACTGCTTACTTTCTGACCTTCTTCCTCTTCCAAACCTAACTTGCTCTCAGACAGTGGATATATATCTATAATTCACAAGCTATTGGGACCGAGGCACAGGCTCCAATATGATCCTGCTATCCTCGGTACTGTTTAACTGTCAGCATGTTCTCTGGCAATTTCTCTCCAGGCCACTGATGCTCTCCTAAAATGGACCAGATGCTGGCCTGACTAATAACGGCTCCCACAGTGCAGCATGGACAAAAGCACCCTGCTTGGGGTCTGAGAGAGGGAGTGGAGAGGCAAGCAGACATACGCTGTGCTGTTTGTGAGCAGAGCAGTCTCTCATCAATATTTAGTCTTCCAATCACAGTCTTTCAGGTGAACACAGCTTTGTTGCACTTGGAAACAAAATGTGAGTTCCCATCCAGTTCAATACCTGCACAAAGCAAGCCACAGATCACAATCGACCTCTTTGTGGATTCCTGTAATGCTGGTCAATTTGCTTACACAGCTGCAGGCTACTATTTCACATCACTTCAGTAGCTGAAAGATAATCTTGTGTCAGTCCTGTGCTGGAATTTCTGTGTGGTTCCACTTTTCAAAGTGGAAAATAATTTATTTTAACCATGTGACACAATTTCTCAAGGTTTTTTTTTAGTGCAATCATCTGAGAAGAGGAGGAGAAATGGGAAGGATTGCCTGGGTGGAAGGAAAGTTGTGTGGCCTGGATTAGAAGGGATTTGACTGGAAGATTGGCTTGGATTTGCCCAGACCTGTTAGACAGGAATGGGAGACCTCTTCTCAAAGGTTTTTTGGAATGAGAGCGTAGGGAGTGCAAGAGAGAGCAACTCATGTTAGCAGTATGGGCCAGCCCCAGTATCTTCAAGAGAAACATTGAAGTCTGTTGTTAGATTTACACTGGATTGTAGCATTTGTGGAGAGCTCCAGCTTTAAGAGCCTGATGGCATTAAAAACACCAGTAATTCCTCTCAAGGCAGCATTCCTCATGTTTTCCCAACAATTTGGGAACTGCAAAGAAGTGCAGATTTCTCAACTCAGTAATTGAGATGTTGCCTCAGCATTTTTTCTATCAGCATACTTCAAAGCTCTTTAGATTTCCTCCCCCAGTGCAGCCATCCATCCTCTTCCAGCAAATCTCAGACCTTACTGATTATTACCAATAAAATTATTGATGTTAGAAATGCTGACTCAAGAAGATGAGGCTATTTAAGAACGTTTTAGCAGATGTTAGTTGAGTGATACTGCATCATTTCATGCAGCACATTGCAAAACCTCTCTCTTCCCTGCTGTGTTCAATTGTTACTTTCCCTGCGAGAGAAACTTGTTTCTTCACAAAGCTGGCCTGAGAGGAAAGTGTGGGAAGAGTGTGGGAACAGCAGACAACATCAAGGCTTCCCATTTTTCTGTTCGCTGGTTCTTGTGAGCAATATTGCTTGGTTTTTAACTGCTGCAACTCTGAAGGGTTCTTTCAGAGGGCACATTCCGTGGCGTTCCTGGTTTGGAGAAAACACTCCTAAATACTGAGTACATTGTCTAAAAATCCATCTCCAATTCCTTTTGATCTGAAAGAACCAATTTATTTTCTTCTTCAGATAGACATAGGATAATTACAAGAAGCACCCGTATCATTCATGTGGCTGTCACATGCAAAAACCACCTATCTTACTAGCCTGCATTACTTAGGCTTCTCCATTTCTCATGCACACTGAAAGCCACAAAACATCATCCCTGACCAGGAAAAACTTTATTCATGATTTTAATATTTTTGTCATAATTTTTATCATCCTTTTGTTTTTGTTCTTTAAGAAAAATAAATCACTTTCATCATAAAGCAACCAAATTCTATATTTTGGATAGAAAACTGCCAGATTTAGCTCAAAAAAAAAAAAAAAAAAAAAGTTTATAGCTACCTCAGCTTGCTTCAGTCAGATTTAAATATCTCTTACTTTTCCACCATTTTAAGAAAAATAATAAACACCAGCAAACTAACACATTCATGTCTGATACCACTTACTTGTCAGGTTTTATCACCAGGTTTCTGCACAAGCTCATACAGGAGTCTTAGCACGGTGCAAGCACACTTTGGTATCATCTGCCAATCACAAAATCAGAGAGATGAAATACCAGCAAGGCACAATCTCAGTATAGGCTAGCAATTTTGCAAATGATTTTCAGCTAGGTGTCCCATGATCACCCTTCATTTTCGTCTCTGCTGGCATTAAAAAACACAAATATACAGCATGCAAAGGACTGGTGAGAATGCAGTGCCTGTCTTTATACGGAGCGATCCCTAGTTAGGATTAGAGCAGACTGCACCCCGTTGTGTATGAGGAGTAAGGAGAGAGAATTTAAATGAAATTACATGGGAATCTAAGTGGAGAGGGTCCATCAGCAGTACTTCAGTGCCCAGAGAATTCCCCAACCCCAAGCCACTCCTCATAGCTTTAAACGTGGGTGCTGCCCGTGGCGATCTGCAGAGCCCTGCAGTGTTTCGGCATGGCTCTGAGCGGCCATGGTGGAGAAGCAGTGGCCGTCACTTCCTTGTCTTTGTGGCCTGTAGGTGACTAACATGCACACCTGCTTCCTTTGCAGGCTGTCACCTCTCCTGGGCAGTGGGGGCTGTTACAGAATGTCAAGGAGACAGCATTTTACCAGGAAACCCAGGTGTCCAGCAACACAATTAAGGAGATTTGAATTGATCAAATCCTTCGCCCTTCCAGAAAACAAAACTGAATACAAACCTCTTCCAAGCTTTCCTCTAAAAAATATTCAGGACACCAGGCTGACAAGTATAGTCTGTTTGCCGTCATGCATGCACGCTGAAGGTGCAGTGTGATTACCAGGGCTGCCTGCCTTCCTTGCACAGCTCGAGTTGACCTCATGTCAACACTTTGGAAAGAGAAACCCCTTGTAATGGAATTTTCCTGCATGCTCTGCACCACTGCATTGCTGGGAGTTAGGCTAGTTTGTGAGCTCTTGCAAATAGAAGAAATACAATTTATTCTGTGTTTGTATATGTGTGTGTGTGTGTGTGTGTGTGTGTGTGTGTGTGTGTAGCACGTGGATATTTGATCTTCTAATATAAATGTACCTTTCTGTTCTGCTTGGGCCAGCAGTGTCCTCCTGCCCCCTCCATTTGCTGTTATTCTCGTTGTTCACAGAAGGCTTCAGAATCCAGCCAACACTTATCACAAAATTGGTGAGAAGAACCATTACTCATAAATTTGTGCAATTGATAAAGTTCTTAATTGTACCCAGGAGGTCATGTCTTGAAATGCTTTCAGACCATCAAAAAGAGAACAAGCTGCTTGGGAGCAGTAAGCACCATCTGAGACTTCTTCCATAACTCAGACTGTTTACTTCTCATCTTCACTCACTACTGCCAAGCAAGTCTTTTTTTCCTCATATTCTTTTACTGTTTCTTCTTTGAAACTCACTTCCAGGGAAAGTTCTAAGGACATCTTGGCCTTCAGGGCAGATTCAAGTCCTGATCTCTCTATACCCCAACAGAGAACGTATAGAGCAGACCAAGGTCATTCTACCCCACAATAAACCTAGTTTTCTTCATGATGAGACACGTGCCTGTGATTCTTTCTATGCTGGCAATCTTATATAGGCAGCCTCTTTCTAAGCTCAAGCTTTACAGCTGGGACATCTTCACAGCACCACAGCTATCTAACCCCAGCATGGGAGAGCATGCCTCAGGAACCGTGTGCTGGCACTGGCACCACATGGCAGTGTGTGGCAGCCTACCAGGGTAAGGTGTTCCTCAGCATCCATGCATCCAGCTGGTTGGCAACCATTGCCATCCCAGAAGCTTCTGGGAAACCATATGAGTCCTGGTAGTAAAAACAGGATCTTAAACAATCTACAACATTTTCCAGTCTATGATGTTTGTACAGAGAGGGACCTTTCCCCACATGAATGGCCCCAAGCTGTGACTATATCAAGTTACTTACATGACCAAGTCTTTGCAGGATCCCAGCCTCAGGGATTGCTGGGAGTTCAACAGTGATGAGCGAGTAACAAAAAGGCTCTCACGGAATACACTTGGGGACCCTACTTATTAGAACAAAGTGTGAATTAAACGATACTGTTGTAGGTGACACAGATTCCAATAAGTGCAAATAAAACACTTCCCATTGCCAGAACACCATCTCGTGATTCATGTGTAGTATCCCTTACAGCAGAGGCAATCGAGAAATATATTGACTAGCTGCTGTCTGCCTTGGAATTCCCCTAGCAAAGCTGGCCTGGTTAGCAGTGCAGGGTGGTTGGCTTCCAGGCTATCAAGTCTCACTGAAATCAATGCAATTCAAGAACGTACTTAAAATAAACGTCTACAGACTGTAGTGAACTCAGATACTGCATGGTTCTCGGAGGTTTTTTGGCTGATTTGTTTACCGAGGAAGTATCTCAGAGGGACAGAAACTAGCAAAATATTCTAAAAAGTGTAAGAATACCCTACAAGCAAGATAAACACAAATGTAATGTAAATGAGAGGTGGTTGCATTTACTGTAAAACTACAACGTTTAAGACCCAATTTCCTAGGTCTTTCCAGAGATCATGCACTCCCTTTGACCCTCATATAAGCATCTAACCTGTCTAAATTAAAAGGAAAACATAAGCCAAGATCTTCTACCACTTGCCAGTGCAAGATGTGCTATTGCCCTAGGCCTCAGAGATCACTGTAGTTATGCATTCCTGCTTTTAGTTAAGCTAATGAGAAGAAGAAGGAAGAGAATTTTTGAGGTGGGCTCCTCTTCCTTTCATCTGGAAAGTGGTTACTGAGTTGTTCAAAGCTTTTGTGCATAGCTCTGTGCGCTCTGTACCTCTCAGCGTGTGACTTTCTAGAGACTCCTACTACACTATTGAAAGGAAAGGTGAGTTCTAGCGTGCTTCCCTGGAAGCAGGCTAAAAATGCAATTAGCAGAGAGCCCTCCAAAAAAAAGTGGATGATTTTGCATTAAGCAGAGTTTGTAAATGCTTCTCAGTTACTTGTTCTATTCTCTTCTCTTTTCTTTGCAAATGATGGAATGACTTAGAAAGGGTCAGATGGCGTGGACATTTTTGGCTTGAGAGTCTAATAGTGTGGTTGTCCATTCTTCTCCATAGCTGCATGCCAGCATGTGTTCAGTGACTTAATGGTGCTGCTACTTTGGGGCAGCTAAACAGAGCAGCAGACTGCAGCTGCTTCTGAAGATATAAATATTTTTACAGTTGGGGGGCTCAAGCAGCCCCACAGGATCAAGGACACCTGGGTTCTTTTCCTGGCTCTTCTACAGACCTGCTGTATTGTTTCGCTCCTTTCAGAAGCTCTAAATGAAGACCTTTTCCTGCCATATCTGTAATCTCAGGCATGAGATTTCAATTTGAAAATCTGGACCACAATGAGGGGTTTGGGGTGTTGGGGTAGGACTGTGAATGCAGGGCATTCACCTGATAACAAAATCCCACCAAAGCCATTCCACTGGTGAACACCATGAATGGTTCACAGGCCAACCTCACTTGCACCATTTACCAGTTAGCCATCTGCTCCCGTCAGATATTATTTTATGGCTTTCCTTTGTTTTTCACCGAGGCCTAAACAGGAATGAAATTGTGAGTCTTGTCGCTAGCCCTTTTAAATAAATAGCTCTGCCATCGCTCTAATAAGTTTGACAAGTTGGTCCCAGGCCCTGGACAGGAAGCTAATAAACTTTAAGTTGCTTTTCTATTGTTTTCCTAAAACAATTTGACTTCCTTTCTGATAGCCTCAAATTCCTTCATTAAAAATAGAGTAGCTGGGAGCCAGAGGAAGAGCTGAACGTGAGCCAAGTTGTGCTTACAATGCTGCCTGCGTAAGATCACATTTTTATCCTGATCCACGAAGACTCTTTAAAAGAATAGCAGGCAGACAGCTGCCAGTGCATGTCAGGAACAGCTCAGAAGCCAGTCTCCCCCAGCATCGGTCCTTCAGGCTCGAGGGAATCTCCAGCCAGTGAGCCAGTGTCAGACCACAGCAGGAGGCTGAGTCCCAGGGAGCTGACCGGGGTTTGTTTCCCCTATCCAAAGTGTCCTCCCTCAGACACGGATCTCTTCTGGGAGCCGAACAGTGAGAGAGAGGTGGGCTCCAGCAAGACCAAGGGGCTGTGCTAAAGCTAACCCTTTGGTCAGCTTCACCTGCTCCTACCTCTACCTGTACTGGCTCTGCAAAAAGAGGTAAAGGTCTATTCTTTCTTCTCTTTTCACTTTGTGAAATATCTGTATGTATATATGCCTACACACGTATTTGTGTGAAGCAGTAATTCATCTAGCTGGAAATCTACAGGACAAGGTGAATGTCTGGTGGCTAAGTAGATGAGGCATTCCTTGCTTAAAAATGACTTACTAATCATTTGGACAAATCCTTCGGCTCTCCATGGTTTGGTTCCTCCACCTGTAAATCAAGGAGAGTGTTTATGAGAGGTGTAATTACATTATTATTTGCAAAGCACTTCTCAGCTACTCAGAGATGTTTTAGAGTTGGGAGGTGGAAGCAGTAGCTGTGAGAATACAGTATTTCCAGTAACATAAAGTTGACAAGTAAGCTTTAGCGGTCATTTTAGATGGTCATTTCTCCTCAGTAAGATGAAAGCCTCTTACAGATTTTCTTGCTGAAAACTTTATTGGCATATGAGATTGACACAGTGATATTTCACACCTTGTTGTTTCTTTTTTATTCTTTTCTCATTCTTTGCTGGTTTGGTACTCTGGTCTGTGTGGTGTTTTCACACTGATGGGCAGCTGAACTCCACCACACTGCTCGCTCTCTCTCTATCCTTGAAGAGGGGAAGAAAATACAATGAAAAAGTGCTTAAGGGTTGAGATAAGGACAGGGATATTGCTTTCCAATTACTGTTATGGGCAAAATCTTTTCAGCATAGGAAGATAAATATAATTTATTGCCTATCACTAACAGACCCAAGGAATGAGAAACTGAAAGCTAACTAAAAACACCTTCCCCCCATTCACCCTCTTTCACCTCCTCACACCTGAGTGGCACAGAGGAACAGGGAATGGGGGCTGTGGTCAGTCCCTGACGCTTTGTCTCCACCGCTCTTTCATGGTCCCTCTCTGCCCCTGCTCCCTGTGGGGACCCTACCACGGGATGCCATCCTTCCCGAACTGAGCCTGTGGGGGCTGCCCACAGGCAGCAGCTCTTCAAGCACTGCTCCCACACGGCTCCATACCATGCGGTCCATCCCCCAGGAGCAAACTGCTCCGGCACGGGTCCCCCACGGCTGGGCGGCAGCTCCCCCCAGAGCCCTGCTCCTGTGTGGGCTCCTCTCCACAGGCTGCAGCTCCGGCCCGGGGCCTGCTCCTGCGGGGGCTCTCCATGGGCCACAGCCTCCTCCAGGCCACATCCACCTGCTCCACCGGGGGCTCCTCCAGTCATGGGGGGGCTGCAGCTCCTTGTGGGACCCATGGGCTGCAGGGGGACAGCCTGCTCCACCAGGGGCCTCTCCACAGGCCACAGGGGAACTGCTGCTGCCTGCCTGGAGCACCTCCTGCCCTCCTGCTGCACCAACGTTGGGGGCTGCAGGGCTGCTTCTCTCATTTTATCACTCCTCTCTCCCAGCTGCTGCATCTCAGCAGTGTTTCCCTTCCTTAAATTCACTCTCCTTGAGGCCCAACCAGCGTCGCTCACTGGCTCAGCACTGGCCAGCAGTGGGTCCCTTTTGGAGCTGGCTGGAGCTGGCTCTGATCTGGCATGGGGCAGCTGCTGGGCTCTGCTCACAGAGGCCACCCCTGCAGCCCCACACTACTAAAGCCTTGCCATGTAAACCAAATACAGGCTGGAAAGAAACTGAGGCCAAAATGTCCAATAAATAACATAAATAATGGAATCAATTGGGGTTATATACATATTTATTTTTTAACTGAAGAAGGAATTGTGACTATAAAACTATTCCCCCTCATTCAGGGACCTATCATCACATGCTACTCCTGTTCCCTTGGGCCCAGTCTGTCCTTGGGAATCTGCTTCCTGCTGGAGGATGCCTTCAAGCTGTCTCCAGAGGTTTAATCTACAGCAGAGAACCTCTATCTCCCTCCTTCTCTTTCAATCATATCCATGCCAGGGGATTTTGGATAAAATGTTTCATGAGGAAAGTCCACTGTATCAGCAGGGAAGCACAAGCTATTTACCCTTCAGACAATCCCTTGAAGTTCTCAGATCTCAGGAGAACATTTACCTACATTTGAGACACCCTTACAGCAAAGCCAGATGCTGCAAGAACATCTGCTTTATGTGAAGAAGCTCATTCGTATGTGAGCTCTCATTTATACTACTGCATGTTTGCAGACCTTCTCCATGCATTGTGTTGGCTTGCCCTTTTTTATTTGTTTAATTCCCTGACACAGAAGAAATACTCCATTAAATAACCACAGGATCAATGCTGAAAAACTCATCACACTGAAACTCTCTTCAGGATTTACCTGGCTTCTGTGTGAAAGGGAGCAGCTCTGATAAGGCAATAAGGGAAGTACAGGAAATAGAATGAAAAAGGGACCTCTTTGCTTATCAGGTTCAATCCGTTTGAATAACAGGCGAGTACAAAACAAATGGCCTTTTCTAAACTTACTAAGCTCTACCCTAAATCTCATTAGGTTTCCACCCTCAGTTCTGTTACTAGAATGCTGTTCCAGCACCTCCTTCCCTGCTCTGTTGCTTAGAAACCTTCTGGTTTCCAACCTAAATTCATTCATGGCCAATTTATATCTATTTATTCTTATGCCACATTGTCCTTTAGCTTATGTAGCTCTTCTCTCTCCCTAGCACTTACTTGCCCAACCCCCAATTCCAAAAAGTATTTATAGGCAGCAAATCTCTCTTCTCTTAACCTTTGCTCTGCCAGACTAAGTAACTAAGCTCCCTTATAGTATTCACCCTGCGGGCACATCACACGATGTTTTAATTACTCCGAGTAGCTGCAGTAGCACGAAGTTCAGTCCGAAATAATTAATGCAGAAAAGGTCGTACTGGTACCTCATCTATTTTCAAATCAGTTCAGATATCTGTTTGCAGTCACTTCTGTGACTGATAAGTAAACATACTCTTGGCCAGGAGACACTTTCCATTCCTCTAATCACCCTGTTGACTTTCTTTGCACCTGTTCCAGGCTGAATGTCTTGAACATGGGTGAGCAGCGCTGCACACAGTATTCCTGGGGGGGGCCTCGCATCCTCTTGGATGACATTAATCTTACTCGCTACAACTGGAAATACTGCTCTGGCCTGGAAGCTCACCTGCCATTTTCACCTCATCACATCATTGGAAGCCTTCACACAGGACTTTCCCCTTCTCTGTCATGCCAACTAGGAACTTCCAAGTGCTTGGAGAGATTCCTACTGCCTGACTTCGCACTTTCCCATTTAACCTCACCTTGATCACCCCAGTTGTGGAAAGCCTTCAGTTCTCCTGGTGCTGGAATCACCCCTGTCCTGATGATAGGCTCTGTTCCATCAGCAGATTTCATTAGCATTTCTACTTTCAATGTCAAGGTAATTAATGCAAATATTAAGAAAGATCAGTCCTGAGTGCAATCTTTGAGCAGCCTCATGGATAATTTTCTTTCAACCTATTAGGGAACTTGTGTCTCAATTCCATCAGTCTCTCACCCACTTGAGGATTTTTCTAATAATCCCTGTCTTATTCAGCCAAGTCTTTTAAAATAATTAGCTTCTTCTGGGATCTTATGCCTCACTGAGGTCTAGGTAGATATGGTCTGCTATGTTTCATTTACCTAGAAGGTCGGGAGTCTTACCTTTCATCAAAAGATGATGCACGCTGTCCTATTTTCCCCTTACCTCCTGTATTTCTCCTTTCCTTCAAAATCTGTTCTACAGCACCACAAACTGCTGAGATCTGCAAGCTGCACATGGCAAGCTGTCAGCTGTTCTCCTCATTCCCACTGTCTGGGGGAGCATTCTCTTCCACTTGCTCTCCTCATTCAAGTCATAAAAGTTTTGCATAGCAGTCTCTTGGGGAGGGGAGGAAACATCCTTCTTCCCAGCTTACTAGTGGGCAAAGCAGCTATTTCTCTAGCTGTGGAGCTGGAGAAGCTGCCATGACACCTTTGTTTTCCCTAGAAGAGGCTGCAGTACGATAGAGAAGAGGAGGAAGGAGACACTGAGTGGATGGCTGAGGCATCCATGCAACATGTCTCTTCACTCATCTTTTGCCTCCCAGTCTTCCTTCACCCATTTCCCTCCTGTGCATCAAAATTCAAGTAGTTCCCTCAACGCCAAAAAAAAGAGAGACCTGAGAACTGTTACCTCATGTACATGATGCAGAAAGCTTCTCTTCATATTCATTCAGTAGAACTCCAGCATATTTGCAGGATACAGAGATAAACTCTGTAGGAGAAAGAGTATACCACTCTGGGACAATGTTGGGGTAAGAAACACAAAGGATTGATCATGGAAAGTCAGATCTGATCACTGTGAGTGTACGGCAAAGTTTCAATAAGGCAGGGTGGGGATATTACATTTCAGACAGCTTACTGCAGGAATTGCCTCTCTGTAGCACATGAAAAACACTTGACAAGCCTTAGCTAGCCTATCCCAAAGCCATCTGTGAGTTAGATCTGTATTACTAACACCTTTTCTTGGACACTTCTATGATGAAGTTCTTGACAATTTCACTGGCATAAAATCAACAGAACTTTAAATAATAATGCTTAGTGGAAAATTCTTCAGAAAGACTAATGAAAACATTGATACTCTCCTTCCTGTGGAATTTCATCACAGGCATAAACTGCAAGGCAGGGGAGAGAAAAACAACTCCAGAAACATTCCCATTTTCTTTGAAGACAAAGGAAGCCTTTCAATAAAGTTAGAAATGAAGTGGCAAATGATTATGGGTTTCCCCATCCTAGGAGTTTTCTGAGCTGCTATGGGAATGTACTGCATGTCCTGTACTAATCACCAGTGAGGATTCAGCGGGCGGGAGATTAGCCCTCCTGAAAAGGAGCTGCACTTTTAACTTCAGTGTGAAAGTGTCCACATGGGACATGACTCCAGAGCAACCTCTGCACAGCACTGCGTATCTTCTAAATAAAGGGGATACTAAATTAGTAGAACAATGATTAGATTAGAAGAGTTGCCAGCCCTGTGTTTTAGTCTCTGGACTACTTTTGCTTCATGATCTACACTAGCTGCTGCACGGGGACTGTACAGTTATGTTCTGGATGAGAGATAACTAGCCCAGGAAGGATTGCTGGAGGGATACCAGCCAAAGTTTGTATGCAGCAAGCCAGTTCTCAGGGAACCACAGCTTTTTAAGCAAATCTCACTCTACTGGCACTGATTCTTTCAGACTAGCCTTTATCAAAGCCGGAAGGCCTTTCTGATTCACCCTCATCTCTTGGCCCAATGTGCAAGAATGAGAGTCTCAATGTGACACATACATAAAATATAAGACCTTCACACAACATTTTTAAGAAGGGCCCAAATGTTCATGCATCAGACTGTGTGAGTGTGTGTGCATGCATGGGAAGGGGACAGGTTGCCAAAACCCACCTTGCCTGGCAGGCAGGTTATTCTCTATTTATCCATAAGGGCACCTGGGACACCGTCCTGGGAAGCATCAAGTGCCCCGTGGGACAAGGCTACAGCTATGTTGGGGCCCTGGTCCAAGCCAGCAGAGCAAGTCCTGCCTTACTTGGAGAGGTGCAGGACCCTGCTCCACATGGATTCTGCTTTGCCTAAGCCTGAATGAGTCAGAAAAATATCCTTCATCGACGTCTTGTGTGGAATAACCTTCCCAGAATCTGGCTGGGGTAGCTGTGGTGCGACCCCGTCTCTTTTCAATTAAGGAAGAGTTACTTTTACCATAGCGTGTTATCTGGGGGAGGAGGTGCAAGGAACAGCAGCAGCGGCAGCAGCAACTGGAAGGGACAGGGAGAAGGCAGCAGAGTGCATCCTGTCAGTATGGGGAGGGTGGCACAGAGAGAGACTGAGCATGGAGAGGGAGGAATAAGACCCGTGATCCTTAAAGGAAAAACAACAGGAAACTAGGCTTGAAAATAGAAAGATTAAGCTGGAGGGGGTGGGAGAGACAAGAAAAGTAGGTGAAGAAAGAAGAGGGGGAAAGACAGAGTGGCAGTGGGGAAGACAGAAAGTGACACAGAAAGGGGGTGGAGAAAAAAAGAGGGGAAGAGAGAGAGAACCATACTAAAGGAATAAAACCAAGCAACTGAGAAGAACGAAGAGTTCAACTCAATTACAGAAAGGAGAGACAGAAGAAAAGACTCTGGAAATCAGGTAAGTAACCATGAGAGGGAAATAACAGAACTGCAGGAGCATCAACAGGGAGATCAAGCTGTTAGACTCAAGGGTAAAACAGCACGAGGGGAGAGATGGACTTGGTGAGGCAGGAAAAGAAGAACAGCCAAAAACAACTTAAGAATTCTACTTTTTCTTTCAATTTTTATCCAAAGCATTCCCACTAGTAACAAGGTGGGTTTGGGGCATTTTAAAAATTACACCATTTTCACCACGGGCGGCTACACAGAACTGACAGGGGAACCTCCCTGCAATAAACATGGATACCAATAGATTGCAATGTACTGGATAGCAGAATAAAAGCCACATGTATCCTCAGACATTATAATGTGCAAATTGTAGTTTCTGCTGGATCCCATTTCTGCATGCTGTCAGGCTGCCCTAGGGAGGGTGGCGAAGGGAACTCTTACCTGTGAGAAGCTGGCAGGGTATAAGCGCTTTATCAAGCATCTGCGTAAACTGCCTATATTCCAAAGCACGCAGAATAGTTTCAAAGTATCTCCATTTCTTTTCCTTGGGAGTATTGTATCCTGGCCAGTTTGTGATGTGGACCCTGGGAACGTAACTCAAATGTGGTGCCTTGCTCGTGTGCCCCAATGATATGTGCAGCACGCACCGCGGGTGGAATGCCTTTCTTCTCCATCCCAGCACTGCTCAGAGCAGCCTCAGCAAAGAGGCACACGGATCTAGAGGGACAAAAACCCACTCCCGCTTGCAGCTTCTTCTTCTTTTTGTTTGCCTTCCTAATTTTTTCCCCTATTTGCATTTGGAATAATTATTCGATTACATTTCCATAATTTAATATCTCCAGCATTGCAACCGCATGTTTTAAAGAGTAGTCCAGCTTGAAAATACAGTGTCCAGTTGTCTGGTAATTGCTACCTCTGATCCAACGTAGTTTATTTGATAACCCCTTTGATTTCCCAAAGGGTCATTTTAGTGGTCATTTGCAGTGTCTAATGAGCTTTGTGGCATTCAGATTTTAACAGCTAAGGTAAACTGAGGCAGTATCTCTGTCCCTCTGTCCCTGAAGTACTGTAAAAACCACCAGAGGATTATCTAAGTAGCATTTCTGGATAAACTTCAGGCACAAAAAGTAACAGGCTAAATGAGCCTTAATTGATGAAGTCTTCCTTCATGCTAAAACCTTGATGAGGAGGCACATGTGAAAGGTTTTCCCTACTGCTGTCTATGTGAACCTCTCCTTAAGGCTAAAAAACTTAATGCATGTAATATATGTTTGCATGTGTGTGTGCAGATAGGAGGGGGTTAAAATGTTACTCAAAATTCTCACACCGGTGCTGTATTTGTACCAGACGCCAAACAACTCTGCGTCTGTTGGTCTTTTCAAAATGTACTCTGTTGAGAAAGCAGAATGTTTCTGACTTTCTTCCCCCTTTCCTTGAGAGCAGAACAGTAGTTTAGGAGAATTCCTGAGGGTTCGGGATTTAAAATACTCATCAGACTCTGGTTGCTTGGGAACTATGTTAAGTATTCCTGCTACTATAAGTATTTGGCTTTTGTTTTGCTTTTTTTTTTTTTTTTTTTTTTTTTTCCACTCAACACTCTATATTATCACACTATTTCAGTATTTTGGACTTTCACATGAAAAATTTAAACCTTGTCAGGAAATATAGATCTTCCTACCCTAGCCTCTCTTCTCTTTTTGACCTTCAGAGAGATTTCACACATTCTGCACGTTTGTCCTTGTTTTCTGACTTATCTCAAAGCATTGAAAATAGACAAGAAGGAATGAGTAACTCAGCACTATACCATGTCATTAGGGAGCATATTTCAGAGACTGCTCCACACCTCGGGTGCTGTTGTATGAAGCACGTGAACAGAGGCTTAAAATTAGAAATAGTTCCCAGGAGGCACAAGAGAAACTTCAATCTTTGTGCTAGGAATTCTTAAAGAGGAAAAGAAATCAATTTTATGCTTATTGATAAACAACGCATAGATTTCTATAAGCAATGCTCTAATATGCCAGCTTTTTCATGAAATAAAGAAATATTCATGTCATACAGTAAGTAATGAGCCAAGATTCATGCCTGTAAGTATCTCTAGTGTGTCATTAAAGTGGGGTCAGTGGTTTTTAATGTAAGAACTAAGGGTTTTACACTTACATTTCTGTCTTTCTTCGTTATCTTTGTCATAATGGACATGCCTTGAGAATGGCTCAGAATTCCCATATGAAGCTCTTCTCCCTTAGATGTGGGAAAGCTGGCAGATGCCTCTGTAAGGGCACGGTGGCTCACGAAGCTGAGCAGTCCAGCCAGGGTAACTGTTCCAGAGCTCCAGGGTCTTACACTGCATTTGGATGCCTGGTGGGAAAGGGAGAGAATAGCAGCATGGGAGAAAAGCTGTCTCCAATTTAAAATCACACAAAGCTGTCCAAGAGGACAGGTTTTTGTTCTTGCTACTTACTCCAATTTCCTATGCAGAGATGGGGCAAATCACTTAAACCGTGTTTGTTCACAAACGGCCCCTCGGTGGTGCCTCTTGTCTTCTGGATGCCTGCCTCTTAGATGTGGTCTAACTGGTGGAAGTGATAAATGCTCCTGCTCCAGCGCTAACCGGGGAGAGCTCTGCTTCGAACATATGTTACATAGTGCTAAGCACACCGAAGAAAACAGATTAGCAACATCTCCACACAGCTTCCAAAAGTAATGAACATTTTTAATCTTAATCTCCCTCTGCCTTAGTTCCCCAGCTGCAAAATTCATGTAATACCATCTCCTCACCTCCGAGTGGTAATGAAAATAAGTAAATTAATAATTGTGAAGCGATCAGATACCGTTGTGATGAAAGCCATAGGAAAACCCATGAGGAAACTAATAATTCTGTCTTTAGAACAGGACTTGAATAATGTACAGTAAATGAGGCACAGGCCACCCACTGAACAATAAGGAGAAAACAAAACATTGAATAGCTGCTGCTCAAGAAAGCCCCAGCCAGGCTGGCACGGAATAAGGCAGGCATCCTGTGCAAAGAATGAGGTGACAATGTGAGGATGTGGTTAAAGACTCATAGCTAGGAGGCACAGGCACAAAGAGATTGAATTAAGATTGCTTAGGAAAGTAACTCTAGCATTTGCTAACTCCCTACTGCTCGGTTTTGAGAATTTAATATTAGTTGTTTTTAAAGGGGAGGAGGGCGTATATATGTATATGTATGAATATATGCTAAGTATAAAAAATCGTCCACTCACAAGCTATAGCCAAACTTTGCCCTGGATGAGAAATTAAATACTTAGAAGCAAGGTTACAGCACCGAGGCTGGGGTGTGCAGAGAATCCCAAGGATCTTCGGACAGAAAGAAGAAATGAGATTTGATGAGGTATAAGTAGGTGGGAAGTAGATAGTTGCTTAAAATTTCCCCTTTCTAAAGCTGAAAGTGTTAGCAACCTGGGTGCTGTAGGCAGTTAAGTGGTCAAAACAGCCCAAAAGCTGACCCTCCAGAGAAGGGTCAGTGTGGAGCTTGACTGTGGGAGAGCAACAAAGAAGGGATAGGCAGAGAGACACTGAGGGAGAAGGGGGAATAAAGGATAGGGTAAATCTGAATTAAAGCCATTTCCTTCTCCTGTTACCTCTCCAGTCTGTTTTATCTTGACGCTGTTCTGAGTTGCATCTCATGCAGCCTGTGAAACAGCCTAAAATCACAAGTAGGTATTTTACTGCTGTATCAGGCCCAATGCGATGCCCACCATCACCTCCGTGTCTCCTTATACCAGCCTCCCCCACTGTCTAAGCAGTGCTTAAAAACAATTTCTGTCAGCAGAGTTCAGGAACTGCTTCACTATGGCAGTCAATTTATCGACATGTTTCTATCTTCTGGAGCTCCCTCTGCCCTGCTTGGCTGTCCTCTCTCCTGTACACAGCACTGCCCAGTTTAGCACCAGCTGCAGATGCACCTAGGTAAGCTTCTCCCCACAGAGCTAAGTATACTGTCAAGAGCACCAAGCTCAGTCATCCTGAACTGGATGCTCTTCAACCTGTTAGTTGAGGAATAGGCTGGATAATATCCATTAGCCCATTTGTAGCATTTACATCAGAGAGAGAATTGATTTATTTTTCTGGCAAAAAGCATACACAAGCCTTTGTTTAGCTTATCCTAAGACTAGGGTTTTATTGCATTTGTTTGGCTAAAGGCTGATGTTTGCAATGCACAGAGAGAATCCCAAGAGAATTAGAGGGTGCTCCCTGCATGCTAAGTATAAGCCTGGATACCAATACCATAGATGTCCTGTATAGACCAGCAATAACAGCTCAGCACGATGGAAGTCTGCAGCTTCCAGCATCACTTCAGATGAAAATATTCTCCATAATGCTGTCATCTGTGTGTGTAACACATCCCTGATGTACACACTTGGAGGTGTTGAGTGAGCTCCCTCTGTCTGTGTCTCTGTGTGCGTCAGGGTGTGTGTGTGTTCAGGAGGTGACAGGTCATTCAGCTCCCTTATCTTCTCACCCACTCTCATTTTTTTGTGAACTCTGAGATTTTCCACAGTTGGAGAGGGGGAAAGCACACCTCATCAAGGAATAACAAGCTGTCTGCAACTACAAGCAGGGCCAGTGGTCTGGATACCAGCATGACCCTTCCAGAAATTGCAGTGAACTCAGGAGGAGCAGGGAGATGAGAAACATTGGACGGCTGTCTTCTGGGACAGGAGCTGTTAACACAGAGCTCTGCCATGAGATTTGAGCACAGGAGTCAAAGTCAATCTCCTTGCAGCTTACAGGACTTTGAACTCAAGGAACTAGCAGAAAGGAATATGAACCTATTTAATGCAGATCCATGCACAGATCAGAGTTACAAACTTGGCTAAAGAACTGGCCTCTTTCAGGCAGAAACTTATCATAAGCATGTGTGTGCATATGAAGCCGGGGGGATGGTATTTGGATGGCAATGCCTGACGTGTCACTGCTCATCCATTGTACGTACACATGAAAGAGCCAATGCCAGCTAATAGTGAACAAAAAGATACATCCTGAGGTGGGCTTTAGCATTGATTTCTGTCCCAAAGCTCTGAAAAGCCAGCCTGAAAATGTCAGCAGCTGTATTATGCGGGATGCTGAGAGAGTGGATTATTGCTGCCGGGGGGCTGGAGACCCCCAGGTGAGTGCGTTCCCTACCCTCCAGTGCAGAGCTGGAAGTGTCTGCAGGTGTGAACGGCCAGTTTTGCAAGGCTGGGACCACTCAGCTCAGGCTGCAGCCTGCCAGTTGTTACTGCAGGGGAAAAGATCTTCGCTTGCATGCCTCAGCAGTAGCTATCTGTCGTGTTGCCTGGGCCTGGAAGGAGGTGACACAGCTGGAGGAAGGCAGGCCACAAGCAACTCCTAGGCATTGACCGTGCCAGAGCTGACCTGGATGCTCCACTGAACAGGGCTGACACTTCCCAGAGCTTAGAGGAGATGGCTGTGGCTTGAAATGGGGGACTTGCTGCATGGCCTTGGGCAAAAATAGAGTGACTTTGCATTCATTACTCTTTCCCTTCCCTGGGAACCTCACTTCCCTTGCACAAACGCACCCTGCTGAGAGAGCCTCTCTGAGCCTGCCTGGGACCTGCCAAGGGGAAGAGGTGAGCTGAGAGAGGGAGAGCAGAAACAGTATTATAATCAGGCTCTCCACTTTATTTTAGAAACATCCTGCAGAGATGTCGACCTCCTGTCACCTTCCTTGTGGGAAAAGTTAGTGTGAAGTGTGGAGCTGGGCTATTTATATCACTGCTGATAGTCTTGCCTGTCTGCTAAAGAGGGGAAAACCAGTGAATTCCTAGCAACTCCTGGGGAAACAGACTCTCATCGAGAAGAAAACCCTGCAGGAACAACCTTCCTGCCTCTTTGGTGTGAGTTTCTTAGCAGTTCCCCGCAGCTGTAGCGAGTCTGCCCAGGCCAACACCACAGAGCAGAGCAAGAAGCAGGGATGCAGCGTGCCTGCCTGTCATTCAGAGCACGTGGCATCATAAACAGGAAGGGCAAAGCTGCTCCAAGAGCTCCCAACACCTCCCCTCCCACAGAAAAAGGTAGCACAAGAACGGGATGGTGGAAAGCAGCACTCTGTTGGCGAGGCAGCCTGGTGCACTAGCAGGTGCCATCCCTGCCGGGGTATTTTTATCTCGGCATTTGGCAGTCACAAGGCCCCGAGCTGGGTGGGAGCCACGCTTGGGCTGCGGTTTTGCTACTTGGTTTTTCCCAGCTTTAACTGCGTTCCAGGTGACGATGAAGCCGGGGCAGCCACGGCGCTGGGTTCGTGCCGGGCTGCGCTGGGCTTTGTCACATACACGTTCCCTCTTGCCAAGACCTCGTGACTGTGCACAGCCCCTCTGCCGCGCCAGCAGAAAGCTGCCAGCCAAGAGCAGGGCAGCGTGGTGGCACGGCCCGAGACTCCGCATGAATATGCACGAAGGCTGTCAAGACAGCCTGCTATCAGGTGCCGAGACCTCGGGAAGATACCCAGAGGTATTTTTCGCTGAGTCACACTGGAGAGAGATGAGATTTGTCCAATTAAGTGCAAAGCAGGAGTATAAAAGGCCACAGATGCTCACATGCTGAGAGGCCAAAGTGTGTGGGGATAACAGTCTGGGAATGAGGAAGGGGAACTATATGGAAAATTCCCAAGAATAGTAAAGCCCCGGGGAGAAAGGCTGTGTCAGAGACAGTCCTGCATAGCCAGGAAAAGCTGTCAGGAGGTGACAAAAATTCTTCTTTGCTCGCTGGCAGCACAGAACTAGATGCTTTCTTCTGTTCTCGGAGGTCCTTGGGCTGGCATGGCAAGAATAGCTCACTGATAGCTAAAACCAGCTAAGCCAAAAAGGACCCCCCTTCTCTTGGTATCCAGCACCCTTTCTCCCACGTCCTCCTACCCCCTCGCAGCAGCCACAGGCTCTCTGGGGCTGCAGCAGGCACAGCAGGAGGTGTAGGGCTCCTTGGGCAGCCCCTCCACCCGACAGCCTGCGCAGGGAGCAGCCAGCAGGGAGGGACATGAAGGAGCGGCCCTACTGTCTAGTCCAAGCCTCATGGCTGCCAACCTTGGATCATTCAGATCTACCTCCTTTGGGAAAATGCTGTGGGACTGTTACTCTCACATCTGGTTCCTTTTTTTTTTTTTTCCCTGGACTCCTCTTGCACTTACACTTGCCTACTTCATTTCTGTACACATTGATCTTAAGTTTGCAAATATCTAGGTGTAGTAGCCTTCACCAGGGGATAGCAGACCATAATAAAACTTCAATCTACCTGCACATGGTAGAACTGATGCAAAGAGGTGCTCAGTTTGTGAGTGCACATACACACAGCAGGAAAGAAAACTCAGCCTTGGTACAGCCAGGGAGAACTGTTTTCAATTTTTACTCTAACACGCAAGGTGAATTAAGAAAAGGCAGCTGTCAGCTAGCAACAGCAGGGAGCCATAGGGGCACCTGCAAGCAACACACACTCACCTGGACAAATGAGGACACCCACAGTCCTTCATGCTGTCAGGGAAGGGATATTCCACGTGGTACAGTTGTGCTACACCCTAGCGACCTTGGACACACCTGTACACTGAACTGTAGGTTGGTGGCAGCTTTGTCACCACTCTGGAAAAAAAAGAAAATTAAAAATCCTGTTTTCAGTGCAGCTTACTGTAAACCCATCACTGATTTAACTGCCTGTATTTAATTCTTGGTGCTCGCAAAACAAAGCCATATGTTAATTCTTCCCAAATGCAGTAACTGCACCAAAGCCATTTCAGCAGACAGACCCTCCGATTTCTCAGTTTTAACAGCGTAAGGAAGGAGAGAATCAGAAAGACAATTTTGTGTGTTGCTGCTCCTCTGGTTCTCAGCTGGCAGCAGATGAAACAGCTTCTGCATACTCCAGCAGCCACCAGGATCTACATTAGCACGACTGCAGCATGCCTGCCAGGAAAGAGCCAAAGCCCATTCTCGGCTTGCTGGCGTGCCCCTTCTCCCTCCTCACACAGCTTCCAACAGGCAGTGGGGCAGCAAGAGACCACCTCCCCATCTCCTCACCTGGGAAATCCTCACCCGTCCTCAGGGCAGCCCTCAGCAGCACCGGGAGCTGAAGAATGAATCCCACTTTCATTCTTTGTCCCATTCACTCATGCAGATTGACACTGCACACAGACAAGTAATGGTAAAAAAAATCATCATGTGCATTGCTACAATAAATTACATCAGTTACATAACCGGAGGAGGGAGTATTGTTCCCTCAACAACCGTATGGTCTCCAGCCTTTGCTCACAGGAAATGTACACAACGTCGCTGCAGTAAATTTTCAGCATTTAACAGCATCTACTCTCCACAGGCATTTCTGCAGCAGTAAAAACAATTGGCTTTTAAAGAGGAGATGAGGGAAAACAAGGGAGGAGAGTTATCACTTTTGGTGCCTGCAGCTTTGGGATTTACCTTGTCTAGTGCTTTTAGTATTTCATTATGATGATTATTAAGTTTTGCATACATTTATTGAAAAGGCAGTTTTCAAAAGGAATGACTGTGGGAGAACATTATCTCCAAGGTAATAACGCAGTACTTCATAGTGCCCAGCCCTTAACCCACGCACAAGATAGTGCCCTGGGAAGGTCAGCATGGTGAGCATAACTGCATCAAATGATCACCCAAGTACTCCCACAGAGCCCCACAAATTAAGCCCATCATTCTCCCTTTATCCAGAGCGTTAAGTGACTTGGCCAGAAACAGTCTGCCAGAGTTGGAAACAAAACTGAAGCAGGTTCTCCTACATCCTGAGCTTGCAGTCTTACTACCAGCCCATCTAACCTTTCCTCTCAGCAGACCACCTACCAGGAGCTGCTGGTCCTTAGGACGTATTTCAAGGGAGGCTTGTTTCCTTTGCCCATGCCATTTGAGCATTGAGTATTGTCTCAGGGCTTAAGAAAAGAGGAGAGAGCAAGATCCTTGCAAAAAATGTAGATTTTGCAGCAGTTCCCATTTTAAGAGGTATGGCAGAGTGGCAGCAGATTAGGTTTACAGGACTGGCACAGCTCACCAAAGTCTTTACACACCTGAAACATTTCAAAAGTGTAAATAAAATGCTTGTAAGTGGTGATACTGCCAAATCAAAGCAAAACCTATGTGCAAGGTGCAGGTGGGCAACAGGGAGGCTTTCCATGCCTTTCTTTCAGTGGTGACACTGAGCTCAGACACAAAGCTCAGAGCTGCAAGCACTTCACCTTCCAAGTGTCAGTGCAGATATTACACAAAGGCAGCACGTGAACGTGCCAAGGCACTGCCCAGACCAAGCAGTACACCCCAGATCCCAGAGGATCGATCCATTTAAGGGTTCTCCAGAGTGCAGTTTGCAAATGGATGCCTACTGCTTTAACTACACAGGCCTCAGAGGATGCAGTATGCAGACCACAGCGAAAGGACTTTCTGAACCAAGGAAAAACATGGTTCACCCTCAAAATTTTAGCAGCCCATTTAACAGGTTGTAGTTTGATTGTGCTAAATTAATAGTAATAATAATAATAACAACAACAACAACAATAATAAAATGGGTTTGGCAAATGTGAAACAAAGTCTTCAGCAAGCCAGAACTCATTCATTTCAGGTCAAATCAAAATGTTTCCTTTGACACAAGCCAAATTATTCCACTCCATGCATTCCCAGCTGGGCATTTCCTGACCTTCCTTAGAACCCCTCTCTTCTGTCTATTTTCACCCACAGAGGCTGTTTCCAGTTCTGCCTTCAAGCCTTCTCCCCCCTCCTGGTGAGCAGAAATGGGGGACTGGAGTTTCTTGGGCGAGTTCCTCGAGGAGGTCCACAAGCACTCCACAGTGGTGGGGAAGGTCTGGCTGACCGTGCTCTTCATCTTCCGGATGCTGGTGCTCGGTACCGCAGCCGAGTCCTCCTGGGGGGACGAGCAGTCCGACTTCATGTGCGACACCCAGCAGCCCGGCTGCGAGAACGTCTGCTACGACAAGGCCTTTCCCATCTCCCATGTCCGTTTTTGGGTCCTCCAGATCATCTTTGTCTCCACCCCGTCCCTGGTGTACATGGGCCACGCGATGCACACGGTGCGCATGGAGGAGAAGAGGAAGATGAAGGAGGCAGAAAGAGAGGCCCAGGAGATGAAGAACAGTGGTGACAATTACTACCAGCAGAAGTGCCCCGCGCCAGAGAAGGCCGAGCTGTCTTGCTGGGATGAATCGGGAGGCAAAATTATCCTCAGGGGCAGTCTGCTGAACACCTACGTCTACAGCATTTTGATTCGCACTGCCATGGAAGTGGCCTTCATTGTGGGACAGTACGTCTTGTACGGGATCTTCCTGGAGACCCTGTACATCTGCCAGCGGGCACCTTGTCCCCACCCTGTCAACTGCTACGTTTCCCGTCCCACAGAGAAGAACGTCTTCATCGTCTTCATGCTGGCCGTGGCCGTGCTGTCCCTGTTCCTCAGCCTGGCTGAGCTGTACCACTTGGGCTGGAAGAAAGCCAAAGAGAGGTGCTCCCGGGCCTACAAACCCAGCCCCAGCACAGCTCCTGGCAGACTGGAGTCCGCCCCGCAAGTGGAAAGGGCCCAGATGTACACTCCCCCGCCAGATTTTAATCAGTGCTTGGCGAGTCCCAACGGGAAGTTCATCAGCCCCTTCAGCAACAAGATGGCCTCCCAGCAGAACACCGCCAACTTCGCCACCGAGAGGGTCCACGGCCAGGAAGATGCTGCTGGTGAAGGGCCCTTCGTGAAGTCCAGCTACGCGGAGAGCCCGGAGGTGGCCAACGAGTGCGCGGCGCCTGCCTTCCCCGAGAGCTACTTCAACGAGAAACGCCGCTTCAGCAAGACCAGCCGCGCCAGCAGCAAGGCGAGGTCGGATGATTTGTCCGTGTGACCTGTCGCCGGGAGGGATGAGGAGAAGGAGTGGTCTCGGCGCTTTGTAAAACTTCTGCAAAGTGGGCCGCAGACTCTCGCCACTAACCTCTCTCTCTTTTAACGCCCCCTTGCTCCTTCTCGGTGAACGTCATCGTCACACTGCAGACACCTCTCACAGCTTTCGGCAGGGGCAGCCACTGGATGCCGCACACCTGGAGGCTGAGGAGAAGCACCAGTCTCGAGGTGTGAAGCTCTCAGCCATATTCTCACCATGGGACCTGCAGGGACTGGGGACTCGCCGTCCCTAGCTACAGACTGGTAGAGCACAGGCTAGCACGCTCCTGGGGCTGCCTGGCTGCTCCAAATGCAAGGCCAGCCATCCACTGCGACACCACATCCAGCAGGCTGGCTGGACCTCGATCCCCTCAGCCCCCTCGCATCTCCTTTTATGTCTGTCCAACACTCGCTACAGCGCTGGGCAATTATACCGAGCTGAAGCTTCTCTCACTGGCAGGGAGCAGAAACACACCAGCGGGCCTTCTGAAAGAAAGACTCTCTCTTCTTTGTTCTCTCTCTTTTTAACCTTCCCTTTCTCTACCTGAGCCCGGATATTTTATACCAGTTTACCTATACGATAAACTCTACTTGAATTTTTTTTTTTGACACTGTGCATAGAACTGTTCCCATAGATAGATAAGGACAGCCACGGTCCCCCCATGCACAGCTGCTTGGTGTCTAACTTTGGATTCTCTTCCTCATTCCTACGGCAGCACAGCAGGCTGGCCCCTGGGATATCGCTCAGACAATCAGTGGATGAAGACTAGGGAATTTTCCCAACATACTTATGTCAGCAATTTTAAGCAAGGCATCCACTAACAGAAATAGAGATTTTCCTCTGAGAACAGACGTCCACCTAGTAAAAAAGGAGGAATCATCATGTGGAAACAAAGTGATATTTCCCCTTCTTATGTTCATCTTTCAAGCAACCTGAATGCTGCTGAAAGGGTGCTGACAGCTGCCAACTCGGGAGAAAAACATCCTCTGTTTACCTGCAGAAGAGGTACGGCCTGTGTCTTCTCCCTGCTACCCTACAAAAAAAAAAAAAAAAAGACACTTCAGTATCTTTTGCAAGGAGCAAGAGGTCCCTCCAGGTCCCGCACATCAGTGAGCTCCTGGCTGCTCTCTCAAACCTGCCAGCCACTGCAAGCCATGATATCTGTCCTCCTGGCAAATCTCTCTTCTGCCATGAGGTCATCTTCTTCACCTCTGGTTCACGTGGTGTAAGGAACCACTGATGGACCACTTCTTTCCTCCACCACAGCCTCCCAAAGCAGCCACTGGCTCCCAGCACTGCACAGTGAGCCTGGTGGGTGAGGTCTGCAGGCAGCTCCCACCCTAGATACATTTTCTCACTGTAGAGCTGACCTTCCCCTTTTAAAGAGGGATGCCAAACAGAGCTAAACTGTTCCTTGTTATTTACCCTGCTGTTGGACTGTGTGAGTGAATGGCCTGGGACCAGCTTGTGAGGGGACCGAGCCATTCCCTCTCTTAGCAGCTGCTGAAAAAGTTTGTGAATCCTCGCTCCCGTTACACAGATAGCTTTGGTACAGTTCTCTGTACGTATACAAACACACCCACACACTGGGGGGAGAGGGGGGTGAGAACTTGTTTTTGTTTTGTTTGTAAGGTGTTTTATAAACATGTATTTTATAATCCTGAAAAGACCTGTGTGCTCGCTCTCCCTAACATGAGATTTTAGTCCGTTGTGCCTAGGTTTCTCCTAATAAAGTTCTAACTCCATTTCTTCGTGTTGGTGTTTTGCCTCTCGTGTGGCTGAGAAGGAGCCGCTAGCATTGACCCGGCTGCCCGCCAGCCTCTGCTGCTCAGAGATCACAAAGATTCCCACTGCCCAGAGTGGCAGGGATGAGGGGAGAGCTCAGCCAGGGGCATAAATAATAAACACTGGGAAATGATTGATTGACTGGCTAGCAGAAAACCCCTCCAGCTCCCTCTGCACTACCAAGGAAGAACGGGAAGAGCTGGCCAGGGAGCAGCTGCCTGGCTTTGTTGTGACAGAAAGACCCCCGGCACACCTTTACACCCAGAGCCTGTGCCTCTCCTTCCCATGCCCAGCCTGAACTTCATCTCTTGCTCCCACTTTCTGGCTTTCACAGGCTCCCTTCTTCTGACCTCGGGTCCCTCTGTCCACCCAGAGGAAGTGCCCTTCCTTCCTCTCGCCTCACGATCTCCCATCCCGTGAGACTCCACACACTGGGAAGCTGGAGACCACTAATGTACTGGGCCCCAGCAGGGGCACAAAGAACCAAACCGAAATTTCACGAGGACACCAGCACAAAGACCTTTAACTGGTGGAAACAGCAGGGACCCTTTAGGATCAGAGGAACCTTGTTTGGGGGCAGCAGGGGGTGTTCAGCCCAGAAAGGAGGATGCCACGTAGGCCCCCATTGGCACGCAATGCAGCAATAAGGCAGGATTAGTCCTCAGTCCTAGCACTAACTGGCATGCATGTAGCCTCAAGTTGTGCCTGTCCCTTAGGGTGCTACCTTGCTGGGAGAGATGTATTTAATAAGCCAGGAACTTATTTAAGCATATTCATGGACTTCCCTTTGGAAAACCTGGCTATTAAGTGATATTGCTGCTTTATGGGGCCATTTAGGCACTAACACAGGCCTTGTTTAATAAATTATTCTCAGTTTATGCCAAGCAGTGGCACAAACTTTAAAAGCCCTGCGCTACAAGCACTCAGAGGGGTAGCAACTCCTTGCTGGAGAGCAAGGGATGGTTAAAAAAGTCTACACTATTTCAGCCCTCTATGATCCAAACATGTTCACAGGGTGGGTTTTGGTAGTTGTTGAGACCACAGGAGGACAACCACACCAGCCCAGCTCTACACACACATCAAAGCAGGTAGTCTCCCTCTGTCACTCCTGCCTTAATGCCTCCCCGGACCTGTCTTCTAGGTATAACAAGTGGCCAATAGTTGATGGATGGATGTTTGCACTGGCTGACAGACCATAAACTTATGACTGGTGGAATCCATTGCCAAGGCCAGCCAGGCTGTCACACCACAGTAGGAGCATATTTACTTCAGCCAGGAAGCGGAGAGGCTGGCCTGTCATTGCAGACAGAGTTTGTGGTTATTGCTTTGTCCCCAGTGGATGGATGGATGGACAATCTTTTAGCTGTGACCTAAATCAACATCATATATTAAATTCAGCCCTGGGATAGGCAGTCAGTCTTTAAATGGCATCATTACAAAGACAGTGCTCTGGGGAGAAAAAAGGGAAACACCTAAGAACTTTTTATTCAGCATTTGTCCCTCTTTTCTCAAGAGCCTTACCTGCTGGGGTTAGCTCAGCCTCTGAAAACTGTTTTTTCCCCTTGAGCACTGGAATTGCCATTTAACAGAAATATTGTCCCCCATCTTCCTCCATGAGCACACCTCAAACCATTCCAGCATTGCCTTCTCCGACTGGTGTCTTTCAGAGCCAGAAGCCAGTTCTATCCTACAGCTGTTTGCTAATCAGCTGTCAAGTCTAAGATGTGAAAACAGAAAATGTGCATTTCACCAAGCTCTTAAAACAGAAAGACTTAAACCTATTAATGGAAAAGCTATATTTAAAAATATATAGAATGCCAAAACTAACAAAGTAATGAATCAAGACAAGGTCACTCCTGTAGTCCCTCTCATCTCTCCAAAAAGCACAGCGAGACAGTTGAGTCAAGGAAGAGACAAAGGAGGGAGATACCTAAAAATAATGGTTGATGCACAGCATGCAGGTTGAGCAAGTTTTTTCGTCTTTCAGAATATGCGCACAAGGCAATCCTCGTGCAAACACAAAGCTGATGTTTAAGACGGTTAAAAAAGAACAGGTGAAAAGCTGCCAGACTACACTATTCTCCTTCAAACACTTTTCCACAAAATAGTGGAGGCCAAGGCATTAGGAAGATCAAATAAATAAATAAATAAACACACTGCATGCTCATAGGAAGGAGAACATGTCTGACTGGACCGCAGATGTCTCAAGCACAAAGACCATAGAAATGCACTGTCCCAGAAGTCAGCATAGCATGGCAAAGAGCCCCAGCAGGAGTGGTGGAGGCTGCCCAGCCATTGGCCTGGGCCTATGAAGGCAACTGCTGTCCCCAGAGGGAACCACTGTCTCTAGGAGCCCCTGCTGCCACTGCTCCCTTCCCTCTCAGCAACAACACAGTCTCGCCAAAAGGGTGCCCAGTCTTCATAAGCATGGGCTCAGCAGAATGAAGGTATGGACAGCTAGTGGTCTCTCTTCTTCTGGGCCCCAAGAGCAGCTGGCACCCAATTTTCTACTTATCTGAGCAAGGAAGAATGACTTCAAAAACTGGCATGAAGCTGAGAGGCAGCTGAAGAGACGTAATGCCACTTTTTCAATTATATCCCACTCCTATTTTCCTCCACTCACTAAAGTTAACAGGCAAATCTGGTGCTGTTCTTCTGACCTGGTGAACTACCATCACGTGCACAGAAATCAGAAATCTCCCCATGGCAAAAACAATGATAGAAAAGGGCAACACTGTCTTTACAAATGGCATTTAAAATAAATAAGCAAACAAACCAAACAAAAAAGCAGGCAGCCCTATCCAAGGCTACACTACTAACCTGCAAGATGTTTAAAACAAACAAATAACAACAACAAAAAAAACACACAATACATGGGCAGCATGGGGTGCGTAGCTCTGCACCGAGTTCGTGTCGTATCCAGCTCTCAGCGCTGAAAGAGCTGGCAGCGTTATGAGGAGCCTCCAGCTGTGATAAAGGCTGTGCTGCAGGAAGAAAAGCCTCCTCCCTCTCTCCCAGTAGGACCACTAACTGCCCCAAGGATTTCTGGAACCTCCTCCCAGTAGGGATTACAGGAGGGTACCCACGGCTTATGCCAGTTTTTGCACACATGTGCACACGTGAATAAAGCACAACGTTTTGGTGATCAGGTTGCCAGCCACAGCAGATGTGCAGATGGCCTGAGAACGAGGATGGAAGGAGGCAGCTTCTTAAGACACACATTTTAAGGGGAAAAACTGTGACTTCAAAATGTGAAATTAATAGCTTTGCTTTTGCCCTCAGTGTTTGTTGCTTGTATGGGCTAGATGAATAAAGATCTTTCTGGGGTCCACAGGAATTGTAGCAGCACACACACACTCATATAGATAGATACTACATCACCATGAAAATGTGATGACAGAAAAAGAAAGAAAATCAAATGAGTTTATAACACCCACTTCATCCAAATAATACAGAAATTGTTCATTTTTCCTGCAGTGAACATTGTTTTACATTTTTTTAAATGGATTTGCTGAGGCCACATTCACATACCACCACTGTTTTCCCACAGATATCTGAGTGATTGAGTTTGACGGGCAATAGAGCTCTCAGAAAGAGCATGTCAGCCATGGAAACTAAGTTTTAAATTCGTATGTACAAATATTCACCCCAGAGGCAGCTGCGTGTTCCTCGAGCCATTGGGAAGCACAAACAATATTGTGTAACCAACCAAACAACACACCTCCACAGTAGAGTACATGCCATAAATTCACACCGGAACGCATTTTAAGGACAGTTGTGGGTTATACCAGTCAGAGCAAACATCTGAGAAATCTGTCATCCGCTAATACTCTGTTGGTGGAAGTAGAAGTTAGCTGAAATGCATATTTGTCTGCCTTTCGCTGGGCCCTAGGCACAGCCCGAGGCATGGCTGGGAGTTGTGTGGGACCCACACATGAAGGAGGGGTGTGCACAAGGGGTGCCGAAGACCCCACTTTCTTGTCTGCTCACAAAGTCCCTACCAGAAGGTTAGAATATTCCATCAGCTTCTTAATGCAAGCAACTCTCTCCATTTTGTGCTCCTGCACAGAGGGCTTCACAGCATCCTTGCAAGCCCCTACACTTGGCAAGCGCAAAATATAGCGGAAGCATTGCGAAAGCACTGCCACTCAGGCATAAAAACACTCCCCAGCCTCTAACACAATTTGCCAAGCTAACGCAGGGCTTCATAGCCTACCTATTCACACAAAGGCAGTGGTCTCTGGATGAATAAAAGTAACCACGCTGTGTTTGCTAGCAAAAAGTATTCCCCCAGAGCAAGCTGGGAAGCAAAACTCTGAGCAGCTGCAATATATTTACTTACTCCTTTAAACCTATTTCTGGACCGAGGCCTGTAGGACTGCTACATTAAGCCATGTTCCTCCCTCAAAGTGGCTACATCTTACTAGTGGATTAGGCAATCCTTTTCTTTTTTCATTTCCGTATTACTCTGGCCTCAACCCCTGCTCGATTGGCACGTAATGAGCTCCCCTGAGGCTCTGTCTGCAGGAGCAGGGCAGTGGGCGGCAGGGAATTTGGCAGACACCCTGCCTCTTCCCGCTCTCTCAGGCCACGTACTCTGCTGTCCTGCTCTTCTGATGCATCCTTAGGCAAGAAGAGCTCTCCATGGACCGCTGTTACTTTTCATGAGGACATCTCCATCTGACAGGGCTGGACCAAAGCGGGGAAGCGCTCAGGGATTACTCCAAGTGGGGTCTTGTGACTCACTGTTCACACACAGTAGCTCCTCTTCACCATAAGGTTAATTTAGACAGCAGGGACAGATGCAGCCAAGCCAGACATCAGTATGCACGGCTGGGGACCCATGAGAGAGTTAAATTTTCTTGTTCATGTTGGACATGAGCCTAACCTTAAAAAGGCATGTCCATGGTGGTCAGCTATATGACAATATAAAGAGAGCAAAAGTCACATCTAGCGATTT